CCTCCCTCCCCCAGTCTCCTTGGGAGAGGTTTAACCGTGTGAGAACTGGAGTTCTCCCCGCCGATGCGACTCCTCAGTCGGGCCGGGGCGGGCGCCACGCCTCGGGTCAGTCACGATGCTTGAGGAAAATCCTCCATGACGGGGATGAGGAGGCTGGTGATGCTGGGAAGAGGCCCTTCTGCCACCGCTTCTACCCGTGTCCAGGCAACTGGGCCGGCCTTTCGCCCTTCTGCTTACCTCCCAGAGACATCTGAGACCTGCCCTTGCTTAGAAAGACGAGGTTTGTTTTATCCTAGTTTCTGTGCCACTGGGTCTTTTTCTAGGGTCTTTAGTCAGCCCCATATTTCAGTCCGGCGTTGAGGATCTGCTGACTTGTGAAAATACCAGGAAAAAGGCTCTCATTGAAAATTCCTCCATATTCACACTGGGAAAAATATAAATGAGCATGGATTAGAGAGCCACTTTAATTTGCATATGTTATCACCAGTTCATTGTGCATGGTTGGCTTGATTTTGTTCGATGCTCTCCTTGCCTGTGGTGGAGAACACGGATTTATTTTCTTTTGAAACTTCCTGTGACACCCTGTGCTTACCCTTGCCCTTGGAATAGACTTCATAAATGTTAACTTGTTGATAATCAGTTGGGAAGAAGGGGACGTAATAGGTACTTTCTTCACAACAATTCAGTGAACTGCATAATACTACATATATCCATTTTCGTTAAGGAGGAAATAGTGGGTCAGAGGGTTAAATTCCTCAAGATGCCACACACAGTAAGTAGTTGACGGAACTGGACCACAGAACTGACTCACTGCATAGCCCATGCTCCTCCCGAAATACCTTACTGCACCCACTGAAAAATAAAATGTACAGCTAATAATTATCACAGATATTTGATGAGCAGTTACTATGTATCAGGTCCTGTGCTAAGTACTTTCCATATGTTATCTCAACCTGCATAACAATCTCATGAGATTGGTACTATTTTTATCCTTATTTCCCAGATGAGGAAACTGATTAGCCCAAAATCACGGAACTAGAGAGTGAGCGAAGACTCAAACCCAAGAAGACTGCCTGCTATAGGCAGAAATTTTAAGTAAATAACTGGGGAAATCTTAAAAGACATACAAAAGATAAGTAATATCAAAAATATATCTTTTTAATTTTTGTGAAATTCAGTATTCTGAGATTTTATTTGAATAGTTCAAAGTATTAGGTAAATTATAGTTACTCATGGGAGGTTTCCTGAAGGATTTTGAGCTAGTGGTTTTTTGTTTTGAATCTGTTTTAATAATAAGATGATATTATATGTGATAATAATATGATCCCTGACATAACGACATTAGCAGACCAATTAAAGAAACAAGAGGTAAGGAGCCATTTAATTCATTTTGAAAATGGCACACAGAAATCCTTCTTCCACTTTCCTTATGTTGCCACCTAAGCAAAACACAACTTTCCCATAATATACTATAAGTATTTAGTTGGTCAGAGCTAAAAATCACCCACAGTTTTGACAAGCAACATTTAATCATGGCTGAGTTAGTAACAGGGAGTGTCAACCTGCAATGAGAGAACCATAGGTAATGATTTACTCCAAGAATCAGTTCCACAGTTTCAGGCACTCTAGTGGCATATGATACTCAAAGCCAGTTTTCAATTCCAAACTCTTTGTAGTTACATCATAGTTTCTTGCTGAAGAAGACAAAGGCTTGACTGCATGGGACTAACATACAAATTAAAAATGAAAACATTCTTCCAAAAATCTGAAGAGGTGAAAAAAAAATTCAGATTTTTTTTAAAACATCCAGATTTCATCAAGATACTTTGCATCTGTGTATTGTGCAAAGAGCCAGAAAATCTAGGGAACAAATTAGACAGGCTAGATCTCAGTTGGCACATACGTAAAATGAAGTTATATCTGATGGTCTCCACTGGCCTTATACTATGTGCCTGTGATGAAATATGGTCTTAGTACATTAAGTTCTATGCATAAATGAAGCTAGAAGTCAAATATGGGGGTAGATTTGGATCAGTTTCTATTCTGTTTTCAATAACAAAAATAAAAATATATTTATTCTCAGGTTTTTCTAATTAAACCTGTTTTTCATCAAAATCTATGTTTGCTGTTCTTAATGGAGTATTAATAGTAGTATATGCATATTATGTACCAGGAACAATACTGGATTCTTTACTTTTTCTCATTTTATTTATTTATATATATAACATATTGCATATATATATACATGTTATATATACTACATGTATATATATTGTTGCATATATATTATATATTGTTACATATTATTGTATACATGTTTTATGTACACACACACACCCCAATCAGGATTAAATGAGATAAAGTAGAGAATCTAGTATTGTTCCTGGTATATAACAGCATAATATATAGTAGATATTACAATTACTGCAAAATCTCTGAATCTCTTATTCTGAATTCTGATATACACAGATGTAATTCTGCATACTTTTTGTCAACTTGAGAATTATCACTCCAAAATGAATAAATTGCAGTTACTCCTCTTGATTAACAAAAGAAGGAACTAGGGGTTGAGACTAGACAAGGGAGATAAAGCAAAAGACAAAGCAAGTATAGAAGTGTTTGCACACACACAAAAAGCCTTTGGAAATATAAAATGAAGGAACATGATTCAAGATCAATTTTAGAACTGTATACCAAGGTCCCTTTGCAGTGAGGAAGAAGAAAAGGTGATGTCTTATAGCATCAAGTTATCAACTGGAGCTAAGATAGAATAACTCTGTGATTTAGGGAGTGGGTTTGGAATATATCTACTTTCTCCATCTTGATCTCTACAGTTACTCTGCATAACTGGGACTATGATAGATTGTGGGACAAAGGTTGGCAGCTCCAGGTTACAGAATATAAAGATATTAGACATCTGAATGGAACTACTTCTTTGCTTGGCTTGATTGTTTAGAAGCGGGTAGTAGGACAGGAGCCTGGAATCACATTATCCCCTCAGGCAGTCAAATATGCCCAGCCTGGACAGAAAGGATCCCTTCCCATCAGCCAGTCCTCTGTAATTCTCTCATATCTCAAGAGAAAGACCCTTTCTAGGATCTCTATCATGGTCATTATAGTAAGCTTTTTATATTCTATGGGTGTGTCCTTCTTTGCCATGATCACAGCAAATTGCTTAGAGGGGCCCCACTGAGCTGAAACTCAACCTATGAAGAAAGGGCTGATGCTGGTATCTCTTACCTCAGACAAGGGGCCACACAGGGCTGCAACCGAGACCTCTTAGGAGGGGACACCAGCTGGTTGGTGCTGGTGTGTCTGCGAGAGAACAGTAAGGCTGGGTCTGCATATTAGAAAAACTGAGAACTGGATTCTACTGCTGCTCTGTAACAAACTGCCACTGCCAGGTTCAAGTGTGGCTGGAAGTGCTGTTTCTCAGGCGCTCTCTGTTGGTAGAGCCTAACTGAACCAGGTGGCAAAGCAGTAATGAGGCGTGCAGAACACCACAAAAGAGTACTTGATTTGCAGATTCTAATTAATATATAGATAATAGATAAACAACAAGCTCATACTGTGTAGCCCAGGGAACTATATTCAATATCTTGTAGTAACATGATGAAAAAGAATATGAAAAGAACATACACATGGTCACGTACGACTGAAGCATTATGCTGTACACCAGAAACTGACACAACATTGTAAACTGACTATACTTCAATTTAAAAAATATACACACACACACACACACACACACACACACACACACAAAAAGAGTACTTGAGAATGGGTTGAAAGTTGAAACAAAAACTAGCATAACTGTCCCTGAAAATTAGGTTAAACTAGTCTTAACTCTTCCTACCACCATCAATAATTTCACAACCAATGTCCTACCCACAACTTTTGAGAATTCCTTGTTTCCTATACCCACCCCATGGACTCCTGGTCTTCTATCTCCACTCCTAAAATTTATGGATCATTTGGATTCTGCTTCTTGCTCTAGTCTGGTGGGAAACTCCACCCATTACTAAGTTCCATGAAAAATCCAATCGTTTTCTAAAAATCTGAAGAGTGGCACATTATTTCTCACAGAATTTGACCAACCACCTGCTAAGCCTTTTAATCATCTCTTCAATCCTCCCTAGATTTTGATGAATAATATTTTCATTATTTCATTACATCTGCAACAAGAAACTTATAGGCATCTCCTTGAAA